TTCTCTCTCTCTTACACTCTCTCTCCCCCTCTCTTACCCTCTCTCTGCCTCTCCCTCCCATCCTCTCCCTCGATCTCTCTTTCTCTCTCTCCACTCTCTCTCTCTCTCTCTCTATTATCTCACACTTTTAAATGTCATATTTTCTCTGTATCGTGTCTCACCCCCTGTAACGTGTTTTACCCCCTGTAACGTGTTTTACCCCCCCCCCCTCTTACGTTAAAGACTTGTGCGGATGTATGCACCTCACAACCAGCGTCCTCTCGGCGTTTGACTTTAACGGACCCGGTAAGGCCCGCCGACGCATTACACCCTTCCTTGACTTTAGCGGACACGGTTAGGCCAGCTGACGCATTACACCCTTCCTGGACTATAGCGGACCCGGTAAGGCCGGCTGACACATTACACCCTTCCTTGACTTTAGTGGACCCAGTAAGGCCGGCTGACGCATTACACCCTTCCTTGACTTTAGCGGACACGGTAAGGCCGGCTGACGCATTACACCCTTCCTTGACTTTAGCGGACCCGTTGAGGCCGGTTGACGCGTTACACCCTTCTTTGACTTTAGCGGACCCTGTAAAGCCGGCTGACGCATTACATCCTTGCTTGACTTTAGCGGACCCGGGGAGGTCTGCTGACGCATTACACCCTTCCTTGACTTAAGCAGACCCGGGGAGGCCAGATGATGCATTACACCCTTCCTTGACTTAAGCGGACCTGGTAGGGCCAGCTGACGCATACACCCTTCCTTGACTTAAGCAGACCCGGGGAGGCCAGCTGACGCATTACACCCTTCCTTGACTTAAGCGGACCGGGGAGGCCAGCTGACGCATTACACCCTTCCTTGACTTAAGCGGACCGGTTAGGCCAGCTGACGCATTACACCCTTCCTGGACTATAGCGGACCCGGTAAGGCCGGCTGACACATTACACCCTTCCTTGACTTTAGTGGACCCAGTAAGGCCAGCTGACGCATTACACCCTTCCTTGACTTTAGCGGACACGGTAAGGCCGGCTGACGCATTACACCCTTCCTTGACTTTAGCGGACCCGTTGAGGCCGGTTGACGCGTTACACCCTTCCTTGACTTTAGCGGACCCTGTAAGGCCGGCTGACGCATTACATCCTTGCTTGACTTTAGCGGACCCGGGGAGGTCTGCTGACGCATTACACCCTTCCTTGACTTAAGCAGACCCGGGGAGGCCAGATGATGCATTACACCCTTCCTTGACTTAAGCGGACC